TATCAAATCGATCAGCGTTATATTTCCGACTTCTAGTATGGTAATGGGTTACTAAATAGCTCTATGTCCTTCAGGTGTAAATATATACGCCATATAATACAAATTTTGTCATTTTTCACACAGAAGTCAGGGTCCATTTGACCCGCTAAATATTGACTGATCTTTATCAAAACAGGCATGCTCAATCTTTGACTCGATCCCATTCTCCATGTAAAATTTCACCATGTTCGGACCATAATTGCGACCTCTGGAGCGACCAGAAAAACCGACAAAAATTAAGTATTTGGTCCATTTCATCCCCTAAATATTAATCGATTTTACCAGAAACAATAGGGGTCTACATTGGCCAGAACCCATCCTACATGCAAAATTTCGTGAAGATTGGTCCATAACTGTGGCCTGTATCGTGTTTACAAATTATAATGGACAGACGGACGGACACACATGTCTAGATCTAGATAAATTTGGTTTTTTAGAAAAAAAAAATGTTTTCAAATGTGATCACACATCAAATATGTTTTTTTACGTTGTTTGACACTATTTCCTTTCTGTTTCAGCAAACAAGATTTGTCAAATATTTGTGTGCAATACGAACACAAAATCAATAGTGTTCAAATTGAACATTTTTCCGACAAACAAAATAAAACAAATTTGTGTCAAATATTTGCTTTGGAGAGACGAACAACAAGTATAAGTGCATTTGGATGTACGAATTCCTCTCGATTTCAAATGTCTGTAATTACTTTACACCTGCAGCCAACTGCAGATTGAACGAAACACAAGAAATGGCAAACGCAGACAACTGTGTGCATGAGTTTCAGTGCTAAATTTTAAAATCGGGTAAGTCTGGAGAACAATTTTTTTAAACAGAGAAATGTGTATGTAAAAAAAAAGACAAGCGACAAATCAATTTTATATAATTTAAATATCTTAATATAAACGCGATAATTATACCATTGATTGCACTATATTTAGTAAAACAAGTGGTTTCAAATGTCAATTCCTTTCAATATATGTGAAATATATCATCATATAGGAAAAAAGTTCGAATATCAAAATTAGTACGTAACGTACGTCTTTTACTTTCTGATTTCAAACTTGTGTATGCCTTTTTAATATTCTTTCTTTTCTTTTAGATATATATTTCCTGTTGTATTCTGGTATTTAAAAATATGTAGTACATACGACGTTGATGGATGCCTTAATCAGCTGATATGTATTTGTATTTCGAAAAAGTGTTGCCATATCATTTTAGATGTTCTGTCAAAATAGTGTTGTATTTGGTAATCGCCCGTTAAATTAAAAATAAAATTTATTTGAAATATATGGAACTTTATTTGTAAAAAACCAAATATATTGATTCATAGCTATTTTACAATTCAAACTCGACAAGAAATGTTATTATATATTCATTTTGTGGCTTGTTATGCCAAAGTCATATAAGAATGTGTGACTGTGTGTGTAATGCTTTGAAAATGTTTTGCGATAATACTGAGAAAAGTAAACAAACAACATTTAATAAGATTCAGCAAATAATCAGCGGATTCAAGAAAATATTTTTATTTGCGCCAAAATAAACAAACCAACAAAGGACGAACCCAATTATTTGTATTGCATTTAATATTAAAAATAAAATGAAAAATAAAAGAAAAATTGATTTGGTACTTTTCTCCGGGAACATTTAAGCTTCCTACATCAATGCATTGCCCTCGTTCTGAAACTTGCCTAAAAATACAAAGAATTAGTTTCTAATTTAATGAAACTTTACATTAATTACGAATTTTTTCCCTTTTCCGTAATTTTTATACAAATTCATTTCAAATTAAAAAAAAAAAACTGTTTTGAATAATTTTTGTGTTTGGTCATAAAACATCTGATCCAAAAAATGGCAGAGTTTGCAAAATCTTACTGCATAAAATTCTTTCAGTAAACTCCAGTAAGTTTGTTGTTGTTGAACTGTCAAACTTGCTCTCTTACTTGACTCTCTTTTACTGGATTTTTGGGTAAACAGACAACATTTAGTAACAATTGTTACCAAATATCGAGTAAACAGACACAACTTATATGTCAAATCAACAGAAAACGGCATATACATTATTTTTTACCGGGTTAACCTGCTTTATGAGGATTTATTTGGCATATATGCAAAGGAATTGACAATTGAAACCCACTGGGTTAACGAAATCCGGTTAAATGTAAACGTACTAGAATCACTTGTTGCATTTGTTTTTATTTATTCTGACATTATAGCCCAGCGTAGAGATGTATTTTCTCTTTGTTGACAAAACATACCCTGCCTTGTATAATTGTACCAAGATTCCGCCTTAATTTTATTGAAATAAAACACTCCAAATTTGCATGAAATTGTTTATGAGGAAAAACAAACTTCGTTATATTTTATTTGTAATAATTATCATATACATACATATATGTTTTGTATTGACATAGTTGTTTTGTTCTAGAGATTAAAAACGCAATGCAATCATTCAAATACAATATTCAGAGACGAAGGATATCAATTGGCTGTATTGTAGATATTTTTTACAAGATGTCTCTTTGGAATGCAATCCTATTATATTTTAATTTATGGATATTGAACAATTAGTTGTTATTGATATTATTATTATTTTTTTTTATTTATTTTTACATAGAGTGTCCGTGGTATATATGCATGTATATGAAAAATAAGTTTGTAGATAATAAATATATCTCTATATATGTGTATTTAAATAAATTAAAATATTATTGTTGTAAATAGTTATGTGATATATTACAGTGTATACATGAACATGCATTTCTATTTATTAATCATAAAATACTGTGTGCTCATCAGAAGTTTCCCCTATAATACATTAAATATCTAAAAATTAGAACAATATAATAGAACTGTTATTTAAATAATATTTCAGTGCTATAATTAAATGTTTTGTGTATATTTACTAATACTGATACGATTTGATATATGAAGGGCAACTATTACCTTTAATTCAATAATAATAATGATGACTTAATGTGTCATATTGATAAAAGATCAAGGACATTAATGTGTGGAATGTAGAAAAAAATGAATGACTTTTATCATTTCAAAGTAAATTACTAAGAGTTCATTTATATTGTTAATATTGTAGATTTACATTGCCAATTCCATTGCAAAAAATGTCAAATAAATTCCCCCGGCAAAAAGCCAAAATAGAATACATAGATTTATTTCAAGAAAACATTCTCGATTAAATGGACATTAATGTATTTAACTTTGCCAGTAAATATCAACAATCATCAGCTGATTGGAATTTAAAATGTATATTTTTATGCAATCTGTTTATAAAAGAAAAAAGTTCTTTTTAACTAACATGTTTAAAACATTAGTACTGCGACTTTTGTTCATATTTTAATATCTAACTTATGTCAACAATGAAGTGACAGTGTATTATACAAATCGTGTATAAGCACCTTAACACGTCATGCACATTAGAACTTTTTGCAAGGTTAACCTCATCAATGGGAGCATGATGCAATAATAAGGTGATGTATCAAAACAAAAACATTTGTTTTTGTCTCGATTATCTGTCAATTTTTTCTATATAATTTTTAAACGGTTGGTAACACTACACATCGAATTCAAGTAGAAATTACCCACTTTGACAGTTAATCAAGACATTAGCTGCGCTAAATGGACTACCTGTTAATTGTGCCATGAATGGGAGTTTATTTGACAGGTAAGCAATTGACAATATTAGCCACTGCATTTACTAAATTCAGTACAATGAAAGACTGCGTTTAGTAGTATAAACGCGCTCTTACCACTCCACTCGATTGCAAATGTCAATCTCACCTGTCGATTATATTTCACATATACGCTATGGAATTGATATTTGAGATGGAGGGGACTTTGTAAAAATTAAACCATGATGCAATAATAAGGTGATATATCAAAACAAAAATGTACAATGTTGCCAACCACGTGAAATATTATAAGGAAAAATTTGACAGAAGAAGAAGAGACAAAAACAAAAGTTTTTGTTTTGATACATCGCCTTATTATTGCACCATGAAATGTACTGTAAGTTAAAAAATAACAGCTGTAAGACTTATAATGCGTTTACAAGACCCAGGGAAATTGAGTTCTGTTGAAAGCAAAATTTAAAATTTGATATTTCTACTTGCTTGTGATTCATTCTAATTGTTAAAACTACTTTTATGATAAAAAAAAATAATATAATAAATTAATATAATAATATAAAAAATAATATAAAAAAATAATATAATAAAAAATAGTATAATAAAATTATATGAAAATTATTGTGATATAATCATCAATTCTTGAGAAAATATATTCTGCAACGAAATCATCACAATATACATAATATGGTAAGAAATGTGAATATAAACATGACAACAATCTAAATTGAGATTGAAAAATAATTTATATAAATTAAAATACAAATTCGATACGCCACATTTGACGTACATACAATTTCCAATAAATCGTGATGGAACCGTTAATCAAAATTCTGGCAAAAGGATAAGGTTGACACATAAAGCCATCATTAGATCTCGGTTTTTAGAACAAAAATCTCATGCATTATTATTTTCAGTTAATTGATTGTTTGTGTGTAGCACGGTATCGTTTTATTGTATTATTAAACATAATCATTTTTGTTTATTTGATAAGGCTTTCATGCAGTTTTTTTTGGTTTGTTCATTTTAAAAACAATATATTTTTGATTTAATTAATATATTTTTTAATATTATTATATGTATATATTTATATATATATTTTGTTTAAATTATATTACATTACTACATATGTACTCGTACTTATACATAACTTATTTAAAATTTGCCAATTAAAATAATACACGATTCGTTAATGTTGTTTGTTATCCGATAGAGAATTAATAATTGATCATTTCTTTTTGAAATCGGTCGTCAACTGTTTCTGTTAGAGTAATTACGTGATGTGATCGGTTAGTTACATTCGGAGGGCGTAGGCTCACAATTTAATTCACATCAGAGTATTGCTGTGAGGAACGCTTGCCCCAACCGCCATGGAGTTTTTGCCAGTTGGCACGTTTGCCCCACATACCCTTCAAGTTGTTCCAGTTGGGTTCACGTTTGCCCCAAGCACCTGCTTGTGAAGAAAACAAATCTACAGTAAAATAATGTTCTTAAGTTCGATTTCATCTGTCAACTTTCGTGGTTTTCACTCAAGAACTCACCTCTGAATTTGTTCCATGTGGGGCCATTACGTCTCTTACCCCAGGCCACATTCATACTCTTCCAGGCACGTTTCTCATTTAAGATATTCTCATCCATGTCGTAGGCTTCACCGGAATTGCCAATTATTTCGGGGGCATTTGCCAAATGTTCCAAGGTAGCTGCATTGGTCAGATATGCCAATTGTAGTTTGGATCTTGGTTCTACGCCAGCAATAAGTACGGGTAGTATATGTTCATTGTCGTTATCATTCAAGTCATTATCTGTGGCTGAGGCTCGTTTTCCCCAGGTGCCTTGTAGAGATCGCCAATTGCTTCGCTTTTCATCGAAACCACCATCCATTGGCATTAGGTCGCCCAATTCATTTTCATTGTCACTAACTGTGGGTATTTCGGGTGTTACGGCATTGGCCAAGGCGGTGCTAATTATTACCAAGCCAATAAACAGCTGTAAGGGTTGTGCAGTCATACTTGACACGGATGTGCTTTTTGTGTATCTAAACATATTGCTGATATTGGCTTTCTTAAATCTGAAAATAAAAAAAGCGAAAAAATACACATTGAGAAATGAGCTATTTTTATTGACATCAAAATTCACACTATTAAAGATCTTCCTATGATAAAATAGTTATATTGTAGACATTTAAATAATCATATTAACTCAATATTAACTGACAAATAATTTTCACAATTTTCACATTTAACACATCGGATAAGTGACTGTCATATGGCCTTTAGTTGGATCCATCAACACAATTATCTTCTTATCATTTGACAAATTAATAGATAATTTAGTTATCTTCAAACCCAATAATTCATTTTTCCAACCACCTTATAAGGCATCAATTGAAGTTACAAATAATTGACATAGCCACATTATTGTCTTTGGCATCATTATGCAGGGAACCTAATTACAATTTTATAATTGCCTATCATAGGATTTGATTAGTAAAATGGACATTGTACAGGA